CTAAGAGTATTTGGTGGCAAGTTACAGACTCACCTGATACCCATAATGCACAACATAAATGATTTATGGAAATAAGACTAATGCCACATATTTGTGACTCCAAATGATTACATGAAAATCACAGAACAATTTGGCTGTCTAGAATCATGACTCCCCCTGTTGTGGTTAAATCTTTATTGTGTATTATTCCTGATTCTGTAAGGCAGGAATATATTACATGCTATGTTAGGTAGGAATGATGCAGAGGCAATTAAAAACACACTCATTAAAGCCTCATTATTAATTGGGTCAAAACAAACAAGTGTTCAGTTACATTAGTCAAAACGATCGTGGGGGCCTGAACAACGCTACAAACCAGCTCACGCCCAAGCTGCCGTTCTGGTACAGCTAGCAGGGCTGGAGACTCCAGAGACTAATTTCTCCAGGCTACAAAACGTCTCCAGCAGGAGAAGTCAATTTACCCACCGCTCTTAAGCTACATTTGCAAAGACACCGGAGGAGACTGGACTCTCGGTCCTCCCTGCCCCGCCCTCCATACCACAAACCGGGAAGAAAAATCACGCTGGGACGCCTAGTACAGCTGCGCCCGAGGGTCCCTGGCCGGCGCCTGCAGCTTCAGCACAGCTGGCCGGGCCCCTGGCTCCCCTGCACCCGGAGCTAGGCGGCGGCGGTCCCTCAGCGCGCGCCACCCAGCGGGAAGCCAGGGCCCCTCCAGCGCCTGGGAGCTTCCCGCTGCAAAGCGGAGGGCGGCGAGGACAAGCTGCTGCGGGCCAGTCCGTCCAGCCACAGCGTCCTGTAGCCATAGTAACCGCCAGAAGGGCAGAAAGCCGCTCACTCTTCTTAAAGGGGCCGCCGCCCATTTCTCCCAGGCTGAGCATCAGGACAGTGCAACCGGCACCCGGGGGCGCAGCCCCGCCTACGTGTCTGTACTGCAGGGGCTCCGAGCCGGCTACTGGCATGGCCGTGCTGTGATGCAGTGCGGCGCAGCCCTCCCACCCAGGCCAGCAATGCCCAAGTGCAATGTTGCAAATAGCTCCAGGTTAGAGGAAAACACGTTTCCTCTCTCTGCTCCTGCAGCTAATGCCAGGGAAGCGCAAATGGAGCTTTTTTTTCTAGTGGTCCCACTTCCCCATTGTCTCTTAGTTTCCTTGCGCCCCCATGATGGGTTTAGATTATTATAATACACGAGGCCTCGCACCCTACAGTAAAGCAAGCCGGTTTTAGTGTCCCGTTCCCCCCCCCCCCCCCCCCACGCCGCTTTCGGAAAGATGTTTGGATGGATAAAAAGGGAGACATAATTCTTAGTGGCTGGTCAGCGCTTATACTGATAAACTCAGATTATTCATGGCATGGCATCATGGCCATATCACATATTGAGAAATCAAGGCAGATTTTAAAAGATTTTTGCCAAACTTCAGACAATTTAATGACAAAGCCAAGAAGAGTATGCACATCATCTATCTTGTATCTCACATGCTCTCCATTAGCAAGGACAAAGGGATGTCAACATTCTCTTTTAAAAAAATACCACAGATAGCGGTTTACAAAAACACTCTTCACAAGATCAAATCTTGGTCCCACCAAGGTCAGATCTTTGTCTATTTTTGCTATGATTTGGCCTCCTGGCTCCAAAGTAACCAATATAAAATAACAGAAATATAACAAGTGAAAGATGCTCCCAATTTTAGAACCACCTTCCTTTATTTTTTACCACTGGTAGTGGTTCAGGTGGCTACTTGCTCTCATTCTCAGAAAAGGAATCTGTTCTTGAAAACATGTTTATGGAGAAAGGTTTCAGTAAGATGCTACTTAAGAGGCAGAGGCTGATACACAGCAGCACAATTCTGTTCCATTCTCTTCTTAACACCACTATTTAATGTTTCTGACTATAAACATTAAGCGAAACATCAGAAAAACCTTGAGAATTGCAATTAATAGTGGAAAAAGAAAACATGATTTAATACTTTCACCTATATATCAAATATGTTTTATTTAAAACTTTAAAAAAGAAATACCATATCCTACAAAACTGAATGTCTGCTTTATAGTTTTACTAGCATATTTAACTGGAATTGCTCAGGTGCTTAACTCAATTACGTTGTTAGGTATTTTTTAAAATAAAATTAAAATGTACATGCTTTATTTAAATGATTCCATTTTAAAAAAAATCAAGGAAAAAATAAGTCCATAGTAATAAAAGAATATAAGTGATTCAGAGCACTACTCCAAATTTCTCCATTTTATCTCTTTTCTGTAAGGTTTCTTGTGAAGCAGTTCTTTTCCAGGTTCATGCTATGTTTCTGGCTCATCTTGATTCCGTCTCTTTCAACATTTGCTCAGTTATGTCAATTCTGAGGACTGGACTTGATTTGGTGATTCTGTCTCTTTTCTGTTTGGTTTTATGAGACACAATCCCATTCCAAGTACACCCTGTTTTCCCAGCAAACCACGCCCTTAAGTTGCTTTAAGTTATAAGAGGAAGCTGTATACTGAATTTTGTGGTTCCAACTCTTACTATTTACGGTGAGCTCTTGATCACATAAACTTTCTATATAGTAGATTACAATTTTTGCAATTTATATTTTAAGTCCAGGGCTGGCCTTACCATGAGGCGAACTGAGGCAGCTGCCTCAGGTGCCAGAGTGGGGGCGGGGGCAGGTGGGGCGCCACTAGGACCCAGAGAATTGAGACCTTTCAAAGTTTTGGCCCACGCGAGAAGGTATGGGGGCGTCATTTGAGCTCCCCACCTCAGGTGCCAAAATGTTGTGGGCCAGCACTGTTTAAGTCATACCATAATACAGTCTCTAGAAAGAATATTCACCTAAAGTTTTGAACTTCCATATAAAGAGTTTATTTTTAAAATACCTTAGCTACCAAAAAAGAAAAAGTAATATGAAAGGCTAGCTATGACAAGAGGAATGTATTTACAAATAAATTCTGGTATGTCTTTATACTTGATAGGATGCCTGTGCTGTTTAGATAATATTTAAATATGCAAAATGGTGGCTAAAATGGTCACTTCTTTGACAAAATAAAAAGATGTTTATAAAATTTGTAACTCAAAAAATAGATTAATAACATTACCAATTAATTAAAAGTTAAAAAAAACACTAAACATACACACAAGGATCCATTATTCTTGAGAAATCATATCTAAATTGGCTATATGTCTCATGGTTGGCCTTCCATGGGGACAATTCCAAGGATGCTCAATCTCACCCATGTGGGTGATCAGTTTCTTCATCTCACTTAAATTAAGTGCAGTTCCAATCATCACCTGTTAATAAAAACACACAAAAAAAAGTTTCACAATTATATTTTCTTTCTCCCTTGTGGTAAATTGTTACAAGAAGACTTCTTCAATTACAATAGCAGACAAGACACTGTGCAAGACATTACAATAAACAGACCTACAGGACAAATAAAACCTAATTTGAGACCATATAGAAAGGGCCCAATTCTGCCCTTATGTGTATTAACTTAAAACTGGTATAATTAGAGACTTCAATGAAGTTATTCTTGATTTACACTTGATCAAAAGAACAAGAACAGGCCAAGGATTTAGGTGCCAACATCCACTAGCAGCAGACAGTCCAATCAAATATACAGTGTAAACTAGTACCGATACATCAAATGCTGCACTTACAGATTTTCTACAAGCACGAGAAGCAAACATCTGTCTGACCCTGGAGGGCCTACACATGACTCCTGGGCAATCACTTAACATGAAGATCAACTCCTCTATGTCCTGTGGACCAAAAGTCCAGTTTTTGCTTGTTGGCAAGGAAATCAACTTAACCCTTTGAGTTACAGGAGCTGGAAGATTTTTTTTAAAAGCAAAATATTTAATAAAGAAACAGTTTATCAATACAAGTAAACATTTCATTTTGTGTATTGTTTGATAAGTAAAAATCTAAACATACCCCTTCCATAAATCAATCCATAATGATCCACACATGAGTACTAAATTATAATTACCAGTCTTTTGAGAGATGTTTTAACTTTACAAAAATTCTAACATTCTAAAAATTACACAGCTTGAAAGGGCTGACTGTTTAAAGTTATTTTTGAAGTTGTGTAACTAAAAATAGATTTTTTTTGTAAAAGTTTATTAATTCCTATACTATTTTAGGCAAAAACAAAAGAACTCTTGAAGATTTTTGAAATTTAAAAATGCATAATGTTGCATGACATGGCCTATATACATTCTTGAAAAACACCACAAGAGATAACAGACATTGTACTCTATGGCACACAATATTTTACACTTAAATAGTGCTTTTTGCTCCGAGATTCTGAGACAAACAAGTATTATCCCCAGATGAAAAAAATGATTGCTCATGATTTGCCCATGTACACAGAGAAAATTAGTACTAGGGCCAAAAAGAGAACCCAATAATCTCAACTGTTAGTTCCCTTCTCTTATCAGATTATTTGTTTGCCTATATGTAACCTTGTTTTTGCAACACAGGTTTTACTAATGTAATACAAGAAGAATAAATTTAATCTCTCTAAGGTATGTCTACACTGCAATGCTATTTCGGGCTATTGGAGCACCCCGAAATAGCTATCCTGCGTCTTTACAGCATGCCCATTAAGTTGGGCATGTTATTCCGATGTCCCTGTAAACCTCATTCTATGAGGAGTATGTGACATTTCAGAATAGCGCTTTATTTAGAAATTTGGTGCTGTGTAGACAGCAACAAATGGTGAAATAAGCTATTTTAAAATAGCATCAAAATAAGATATGCAATTTGCGTAGCTTAAATTGCATATCTTATTTTGAATTACGGTGCAGTGTAGATGCACCCTAAGAGTGGCAATTTGGTCTATTAAATTATTATCACATGTTAAGAAGAATTACTGTTGGAGTCTATAGTACCTATCAATCCCATTTCATAAAAAAAAATATGCATTATATAATGTTCCATTAAATAGTTTAAAAAACCACAAAAGAAAAACAGTATGCACTGATTATGGCAAATCAATATTTAAGATCTTATTTTGGTTGAACCTCTCTAATACAGCATTCTTGGGTACAGCTTAATTTTAGTTACTGCGGATAACTTACTGTGGGTGTGGCTAAGTTTTCTGCTGTAAAGTTTGTTTACATCTGCCAGTCCTAACTCTCAATGTTCTGCGCTATTATTTAGCTCTAAGTTACCCCTAAATGTCTTCTGAGAGCCCAGCAAGTAGTGGAAGTGTTGGTAATGCTGCTAAATGTAAACTTTTTTGTATGCTTTATCTTCTTATATTCTTGTGCCAATACAGTAGAATTTTGTAAGAAAACTAACACTTTGTTATGAAGAGAACTGTTAAGCTTTGGCTAGGCATAGGCTTATACAGGCAGTCCCCGGGTTACGTACAAGATAGGGACTGTAGGTTTGTTCTTACGTTGAATCTGTATGTAAGTCGGAACTGGTGTCCAGATTCAGCCGCTGTTGAAACTGATCAGTTTCAGCAGCGGCTGAATCTGGACACCAGTTCTGACTTACATAGGGTATGTCTACACTCACCTCCTAGTTCGAACTAGGAGGGTAATGTAGTCATACCGCAATTGCAAATGAAGCCCGGGATTTGAATTTCCCGGGCTTCATTTGCAATTGCGGTATGACTACATTACCCTCCTAGTTCGAACTAGGAGGTGAGTGTAGACATACCCTATGTAAGTCAGAACTGGTGTCCAGATTCAGCCGCTGTTGAAACTGATCAGTTTCAGCAGCGGCTGAATCTGGACACCAGTTCTGACTTACATAGGGTATGTCTACACTCACCTCCTAGT